TTTTGGAGAGGTGCACGTCAGGCTACGGCGTATGGGTGTGCGTCTATGCGTAAGCTACGACTGTAGGTTCGACGCAGAAGTATAAATCAGCCTTTAAAGGGACAGCATTCCTAATTAAGTACCTATCCGTGTCATTAATGTTAACCAACAAACACGCACGTCGTTAAAGACGGCACGCGATGAATGGTCGGGAAGCAACGTAGTCTGACATGTTTCTTGTCCACGACACGACAAGATTTTAGGAGTCAAAATCGTGTAATCTGACACAGTGAATATCAAAAATGACAAAAATATCGTGTAGTCTGAACCCGGCATTAGTGAAGGCGGGATAGGCGGAATCGCGCTGATAGCAGCGCTCTCTCTCGCGCACGCTCCACTTATTCAGTTCTCATATACAGCGCGCGATCAGTTCTCAGTGCTCAAATACACACACAGCAGGTCTTATTCTGCTTCTTTTTCAAAAATTATAAATATTATATATGAACAACTATAATTTTTATAAGTTGCTCCCTTTTCACTACTGTTAAAGGGATAGTTCACCCAAAAAGGAAAATTGTCATCATTTATTCAAGTTTTTCCAAATTCAATCCTTGATTCAAATTTCTCATAAGCATAATTAATTTGGTCTAAAGAGAGAAGAATTAAAGACCCGGTTTCACAGACAGGGTTTAGACTAAACCAGGATTAGGCCATAGTTCAATTAGGACATTTAACTAATTTTTATTAACATGCCTTAGAAAAAACATTACTTGTTTGCATCTTGAGACACAACAAAGGCACTGATATAGTTCAAGATCAGTCAGTGCAAGTTTCTTTCAGTTAAAACAGCTCAGATTTACACTTTAGTCTGGGACTAGGCTTAAGCCTTGTCTGTGAAACCGGGAGAATGACTATTTTTGTTTGAAGTCTACATATAAAATAGCTACCAAAATAAAAGTTGGTAACTGCAGTTTGACAAAGTAATGACTAAAAGTTGACAAAAATGCAATGACTTTTCGTTGACTAAAACTATGAAAGACTAAAATGACTAAAATGTGACTAAGACTATTAAGCATTTTCGTCTCAAGATAAAGACTAAGACTAAATAAATAATGCCTGTCAAAATTAACACTGCACCACACTTATGTTTTTTAAAGTTAATCTGATTTTAACTTGATGCTTTGTTTTATATGGCGCTCATGATGACAAATACATGTAAAAATATTAAAAAATAGCAAAAATGACTGCTACAGAAATGTAAAGACTACTCACTGATTTACTGCAACAATAATGTAATGTCAAACATGATCTTATTCACTTAGGGGCTTTCCTCAAAATAAATTATTCATAAATTATTAATTAGACTAATGACCATTTACATAACATTTTAAATTGAGTGACAGCCCTATAACAAACTAATTCATTAGACTGTTTAAACCTAATAATCATATGTAGTAAGTACAGATCAATGTAAGTGCAGATTATACCTATACCAAACACCCAAAGAAACTCATCCTGCTCCAAAGTCAAGGCTGAAAATGGCGCAATGGGTCAACAAACAGAATAAAACATGCTACTGCATTAAAAAAAAAAAAAGGAAATTTCTGACAGCAAGAGCTGAGTGGCAGTTATGCTTGCAGGTTGCAGGACACTTTAATGGGCAGAGTCTTAGTACCCACCCAACCATTACTCCCATAGGGCAAGGAATAGTAGCAGTGCATTGTTATTCATGAAATGCTGTGTGTGCTGTGCTACAGATTTAAAACACGGCCAGACACGAGACACAGCTGTAACCAAAGCACCGCAGTTGTGATGAAAAATGAAAAAGAGGGTCATTCATATATCAAAAGAAAGAGAAGCATGACTCCCCATTACTGTAGAAGAGAAGAGCCTCAGGCAAACGCATAATGTAACACTAAATGTCTGTCTATTACATTTGCACAGCCCTAAAGCAGGTTCAGGCCTTTCATCTGCCTAGTATGCAAATGACAATCTGAATGGAACAAAGTGAGAAACAAAGTTAAAATCTCTAACCCAGTTTGCTCTGGAGAGCGCAAAAATTATTCAGGCACTTGAAATCCACATATTACAATTCCTGTTCTGTAAGTCATGTTTCCTAATTAACTTGTGAAATGAAAGCGAGGTGTCTGCTATATTGCATGTTTTAAAGTCTCTTCTGTCCCTTTGAAAATACAACGATCCTGGCATGCTAATGGAACTCAGAGCAATGACACAATGTCTCCTTTCTGGAACACAGTCCCAAAATTTCACTGTCCTGACTTTGACTGTAGCATTAGCATTCCATGTGAGCTCTCTCCTGAGATTTCTCCTTCAAAAGCAAGGGGACAGTCAGTGTTCTGTATCCAGACAGTGGTCTCAATGTCCCACTGTGGCTCTGCACTACCTGATAGACAAGCTCTAAGACTAAAAGATAAAAGATCTCAGACCTGGTCCCTCTCTCTCTTTTTCTCTCTGGATCCACGCTTCTAGTATTGATGCAGCTCAACTGCAGGAACATGCTACCTACAGATTGTAGGAAATAACAGGAAATCGAATGAGAAAAGGAATCAAGAAGAGAATTTAATTGAAAACACAATCACTGATGGCCACCGGCTTTTGTGGATGCTGGTGTTCCTTCCAGGCCTCTTACACTACCGTCAAACGTGTGGTTTCTCCTTATGTTTTGTAATTTATTCTTGTGATAGCAACGATTAATTTTCAGCAGCCATTACTCCAGTCTCCAGTCAGTGTCACATGACCTTTCACAAATCATACTAATATGCTGATTTGAATTTTTATTATCAATGTTGAAAACAGTTGTGCTATTTTTGCACAAACCACAATATGTTTTTTTTATATATATATATATATATTTCAGCATTCTTTCATACATTGAAATTTCAAAAGAACAGCATTGATGTGAAATCAAGTCTGTCACTTTTGATTATTTTAATGCATCACTGATGAAAACTATGAATGAAAACCACAAACGATCGAATGTTAGTATAACTACCTTAATTAAACTGAATTTCCAAAACACATGATGGTACACTAATGAGTGAATGAATGATGTAGAAACTTCTTAAATGTGAAATTTTGAAGTAAAAGAATGCAATAGTATTTTCTTATAAAGTGTATACTCTGATGATATTTATATTACTTACAACTTTGAAACCATCCCCACCAGCACCACCCTCCTCCTTTTTTTTTTTTACAGTGAATAAGGAGAAATATTAATATTCATGATGAAAACTATACCTGATTAATCAGTGAGACAGCAAGCATATCAGCAGGTCTATTATGATTAAAATTAGAGGTATCACACTAAACAAAAATGCTGCCAAATAGCACTAAAAGTGGTTCATTGGCTTGTAATCATAGGGGAACCAATTTAAGTGCTATACAGCACCTTTGTCAAATGGTGCTATGTAAAACCATAAGAGGAATTCTTAGATTTTAGATATGTTACTCCACTCTCATACGTTTGCTATTATGGGAATTTACTACAATGGCAAAAACTGTTTTGAATCACTTTTTTAGCATGCTTTTCTGAGGTCCAAAAGTCTTGTGTGGAGTGTGTATTTCCCTTATAGGAGTGTTGAGATTCACGTTATCTTCAGGAAATACACTTTATTTTAATGCCATTTTTAATCCTTTCCCCAAATAAACTAAGAGACTAAGAGAGAGTTAGGGAACCTTTAAAGAACAATGCAGGGGTTTAACAGGTTCTTTGTATGGCAGTGGTGTTATATAGCACCTCAACTACCCCAAAGAGCTGCTGAGGAACCAAAATTGTATTGTGTGTAGATGTAGAAATGAGTTTTAGCTAAGGGACCCCCTACCATCATTTTGGAAATTCCTGCCCAAGGGGCGTTACCAAGATGGCCACCAAATTGCCTTAAAGGAATTTTAGTAAAACTTCATTGTGTCAGTTTTAAATAATTCAAAACATTTGTATTTGTAAGTTGATAAACTACCCCTTTAAGGGCCAAATAAGGGTCACTTAAAAACCTGCATCAGTCAACCACTACAGTTTTAAAATAAAACTGTAAATATAAATAAATTAAAACAGTTTTCTCAAGTTGGGGGGAGATTTAGCTGTCCGAGAGAGAATGTGGCAATTTTACAGAGAAATACACCCTGTCCTTCACACATACCTCATGTACAAATCCTCAGCACTGCATCCACCCAATTATCAGGCACTCCTTCTTCACAAACAGCATGCCTGAACTCTGAGGGGACACGAGGGGAGAGAAAAATGCGAGAACTTTGCCCCAAGTCAAAGAAATGAACTATTCCATTCAACACATTGCTAAAGCTGGAGAAGAACTATCACACCATCAGCACTGACCATTACAGCAGTCATAAATAATCCATTCCTGTCTTTCTAGAGAGTTCACCCGCTCTAATAATCCTAACTCATGCGTGGCTCCTCTTACCAACTGCAGGGATCTGGACTGTCATACGAGACTTAATAAATAACCGGAGGTATGCGCATGGCTTATGTTCACATTCCTCCGGACACTGTTCGAGTAAATATTTAATACCGGGATGTTGCAAAATTCATATTCCTGCACAGAGGAGTGGGATGGTGGATGTGCATTGTCTGCATAAGTGAATGGGAGAGGACTGGGCTGATATGAGTAAACGAGAGCGGGGCTGTGGGTCAGACGCTGTTAAGATAATACCACACATACTCGGGAGAGATCAGAGTAGCGGAGAGCTTACAGTGAACAGTGGTTTGAGTTGAAAGAGAGGTGAAGTGATGATAGACACTGAGGGGGGCGGCACAGGTGAGACAAATACGACAGAAATAGGAGAACTGTCTGGTTATCGGTTTGTGTGATTAGATCAGGAGTACTTGTTAAAGAGCAAAGACAGAGACGGATCCTTACTAACCCCAAACAAGCTTGCGTGTGACTGTTGGGTATTTGGGTGGGTGGGAACAGATTATCCATCAGAATGTAGATGTTTCTGATAACATGTTGCAAGACATACCAGGTGTCATTTCACACCTACTATTTATAATTCACTTTGTATAGGACTTATCTAGATGTTTATATAGTTATCTCAGTCAGCCTCACCTTTAGAGATGGTCTGTTTTCTATCTCAGGAGTTTTCAAACTTGATGGCAAGGATCCGCTAATACAATAATCTCTTGCAAGGATCCACATGCTGAAACAAAGAAAGTTACATATTTCTATGTATTGTGACCCACAAACAGTGTGATATCATAATGGCAACACTTATACAATATTAATTACATTTGTTTTTTATTGTCTGCATCTTCATTTTGCCAAAGCAAAAGAAATTAAACTTCTTTAAAAAATAATGTATTAAATATTACAGGAATAATCCTGAAGAGAAACATTTTCAATTCAATAAAATAAAATAAAAAACAGAGGGTAGTACCTTATAACACTAAGTGAGCATAAAGCAGACCATGGCAAGAAGAAACTACAAAGATACAAAACAAATGCAACCTATTCTTGAATTTGTTTTTAAAAAGGGAAGGATAGATAAACACTTAATAAATTACAAAATCTTACTGTTAGGGCTGTCAATAGAACAATCAATTCATTATTTCCGGTTACCGGTATTTATAAAGCCTGTAAAATTCCATGGTACTTAATTTTTTAATATTTAATTTTAAAAATAGTTCATGCAATATTAATGTAATATTTACTTATTTTTAGTTTAGTTTTTTTATTATTTTATATTATATCCATTTTTTTTTTCTTCTAAATTTTTCCTAATCATACCAAATTAACTTGTTAACTTGCCAGCCCTACTTTGGTTCTTCATAACAGTTTTTCTTTAAACTTGACTCTGGTCTATTCTTTGACAGGTGTATGACTATGTCTGGCAAACGTATGAACCCAGATCAAGTGCCAAGCAGACAGTCAAACACAGTGTTTCTAACCTGCATCTGTTCGCTGCTCGCCTTTTGCCCTCAAAACAGGTGTTATGTCCAAGGGAGAAGGCCGTGCCATGCGCCTGTTGAGTAAAGACAACACAGGCTTGTCTGCCCTGAGGCTGTGCCACACACACAGGGAGAAATCACAACCACATTTGCGCACACACACAGAAGATTAATACACAAAAGCACCAGGACTTACAACACCACCTGCCCCAAACACAAACAGAGCATGATGGGTAGATTAACAAAGAAGCCAAGCAGAAGCTGTGAGTGTCAGTGACAGTCTGACAGAGAGAGAGAAAGACACACAGAACACGCTCTTGCGTTTAAAAAAAGCAAGCTGAGGATTGGAAAAGTGTCGATGCACATTTTTACAAGTTGCACTTCTTGTAATGATGCAGCATATTTGAAATGCGGCAAATTTTTGTGAGTGGAAACCAGTCATTTTAATAGGAAAATTTCCCAACGCAGATTTTGCAATGGGTTCAGATTGGTCACACAGATTTGCCTCATTACCCAGCAGAAAGCTGTTTGGTTTGAAAGTGACTTCTATGAGAACTGTACTTCATACATCACAACAGAATTGTATATTTTTTTTGTCTGTGACGCTAAGGTAACCACACCTGGTCAACATTTACCATTGTTTGCCAAATTTTCAACAGCAAATTTCTACCAATTGTCTACTAGAACTTTGTTCCCAAAACAATACTCTAGCGGACAAATGATCAAACAAATAGTCCCACCTCTTCCCAAATCAATGGTCAAGCCTGTGTTGTTGCATAAGACTATGGGTCACTCAAAACAAGTTTTTAGAGATAAACGCTCAGCTTATAGTGATGATAATTTATTATAATTAATCTATATGATTTATATTAAATATAATGATACCCATAGTCCATTACAGACAATTATAATCCATTTTAACCCAAAGTTTGTTCAGCTAACCTCATGGTTCAGGCCCCAGAGGAAATACTAGCCAGTGTTTACATAATGAGTTTTGTGAGTGTTTCTACTCAATTCGTTTGCTTTCTTTCTACAATAAGACATTCAACACCACCAAAAACGGCTATTTACTTCAGCTAACGGACGGCAAGATTAGATCAGCAATGGGTAGGACAGAGGGAAACAAAATATTTACCCACTTCAGCAGTGTGTGAAATAGAAGAGCTCTGTGTGAATGGATTTAGGACGGCTCATACACACAATCAAACAAAAGCTTTGTTTGACAGGAACATTCGATTATATCTTAATCTTATTACGCATTATTCTGTCCTTGCGTTTACCCACTTGTCAGCCTGACCTGCTCTCACAGATCTCTCTATCCTGTACTAAAATAATAATAACAGAAAAAGGGTGTTGAGTGGCTCTGACAATTTACTGATAATACAGTTATTTTTGAAGAAGCAGCGCATGGTCCAGAAATCCTTAAAATCAGTACATCTGCAGTGGAAAATGCAGCCAGCTACCGTTTAAACATTTTCACTGTTAAACAAGCATGACATATTAGGCTACCTGAGAGCACAATAACTTAATTATCTAATGTCATAATTGCAGCATAGTTTTTGATCTGCTTGATATGCACCCACAGGCTCCATTATGAAAACAATGCCCTGCAAAAGTTAACAAACGTTAAGGCTGCAGGGGCTCAGAGTCGACGTCTGCGGCGTCGTTGGAGGCCTAGTCGCGTTCAGACAGTAGCAAGTGAACAAACAGCAACACCTTCTCAGCCCGCATTCTTCACATTCTCC